ACAGGGTCACTATGAGTTGGAACTAATTTGACAGCACTTACCACCACCCCCACCAAACTGAGAAAGACGACTAAACTGGTTCAGATTATGGAAGTCAAAGACAGTGATGTGAAGATACTAATGCTAATTAGTTAGTAATTAATAAATATTCATTTTAATAATGCATCTTGACTCCTGTCATTGCATTGGAGAAGCAGCCATACAGTGACCAACAAAATCATAGTTGCCTTCACTCAAATTCAACTTGAGGAAGGACTTAGAGATGTTCGTATATGATGTAAAACTTCTTTTAGGTGTGAAATATTGTTGTTGTTAAGTGCCGAGTTTCTGAGGAGCAGCTGGTGAGTTTGAACCACCTACTTTGTTGTTACCAGTTCAGTCTTAATCACACTTTTAGGTTTGAGTACAGATAGACCCTGGAGAACTCAAAGGAGGCACAAATGAAGTTAGACCTTTGATCATTTTTAATTTCTAAACAGAAATTATTAATTTTTAAATGCAGTATTCCCACAAGTACATTTTCCCTTCCAAATGAATTTTGGAGCTAAAGCTTATGCTGCTTTACTGGATACAATATATGATGGAAGCTTTAGATGTTTGAGTTATTTACCTTTCATTTAGTCTAGCATAATTAAAAAGAGAAGAAATTAATTTTCTTCAGAGACTTTGTTCTACCCAGTAGGTGAACATTCTGTCATTATAGAAATGAAATGTTACTAAGATGTTCACATGGTACAAACATGAAGGTGGCCAGTCTCTGGACACAGAGATACATGATAAGGTTCACAGTTACCAGATGAGTTATCAAAGGCATGTTCATCTTTCTGAGTCTTGATTTTCTTACTGGTAAAATAGGAGTATTGATTTCTTCTTCATAGGATTATTATCACAATTAAATAATATACTCAAATTTCCCAGAAAAGTGACTGTCATAAAATAGACCCTCAATAAAGGTAGATTTTGCCATATTTTCCTTGTTTCTTGGCCAGAAATTTCTTGATTGATTCCTATGTTCTGAAAGCCTTAGGAGAAGACATTGAAGATGAAAGGCAGCAGCCTCACAGGATGGTGAAGAAAGGAAGGCTCTTTTCATTATTCCACAAACTTTTGAAGACCCCTTGTATATACACAAAATAAAGAAATGGTAGGAGAAAAGAAAGACTAACACATTCTTGCCTGCTTCTGTGAAAACTACAAACTCTCATCATGATGCTGAGAAGCTCTAGATTCATATACCAAGAATTTATGTCACAGCATGAAGGATCACATCTTGATCAAGCACAGAGAAAATTAATTTCAAAGACTCTTAACTTTGGATCCTCATTTAGATTCAAGCTCAGATTCAACTGACATTTTGCATATCTAGATTCCAAACATTACTTTCACAGGTGGTGTTCTGTTTGGCCTTCATAGCCCCTCTGTAGGATAATTCTTACACTCTCTTCTGTGCAGGGGATCCAGGGAACCCCAGAGCCTTGCTAATAAGTGGTAGCGAGCTAGAACTAGACATCTTCAAAATCCAAGCCCATAGCTCTTTTCATTCTGTGTATCCACTGCCATTGAGTCGATTCTAACTCATAGCAACCTTATAGGAAAAAGTAGAACTGTTCCCTAGGGTTTCTCAGACCATAAATCTTTACGGGAGGAGACAGTCTGTTTTTCTCCCACATTCTACAAAGCCTTCCTAAATGGCTCTACCATGTTTTCCTACTTGAAGAGGTCACTCACATCCTTCATATATAAACTTTTAAAAACTTTTAATGATACGTAGAGATTGTTGAATTGGTATATGTTCTGTTAGGAATATTTTCAGTAACAGTAACAAAAAATAAAATAAATGGAAAAAAAGAGCTTTTAATAATTTGATCCACCTGCCCCTGATTAAGAAAAAGCAAAAGAAGTGAATAACTTGCCCACAAAATGTCCTGAATAATCTTTTATTCAACAGATAAACTGTTCATACAAAGAAAGCAAATAGCTTTCTTCAGAAAAATAACAATTCCTTAGAAAAGGAAATAATTTATCTCATTTAATGTCTTAAGTCATATAAAAGTAAGATCTGGTAATCTATTTCTGAAAATTAACCAATGAAAACTCAGCAACTCATCATGAGGATAGTTCAGGACCAGGCAGCGTTTGGTTCCAATATGCATGGGGTCACCATAGTCTGAGTCAACTGGACTGCCAATAACAACAGTGTCTTAACAATGTGCAAGTGTGACTATCCCCTCAGGGAAGGCATTTCCCAAAATGTATCCAGGAAAGTCATCATTCATTTATATAAATCGTTGCTTTTTACAATCACCAGTGTCGTTTTAATGTACAAAGTGTAAATCATGAATTCATTAAAAAAATACCAGTGTCCTTGGGAATGTGTAATGCAAGCTTTACTTTTAATTTTTATTCTTTTTGGCCTTCTCTTTGGAAAACAACTAAATTCTTTGACATCTAAGTACCAAACTTTGTCATATTTCCATTGCATTTTTTTTTTTTTTTCTTGTACCATAAAGGCTGCTGCTGAATTTATTTCTCAGGTCTTTGTAAAGCATCACAGGTACTAGGAACACAAAGAGCATCCTATGTAAGAAGGAAAGAAATGCTGCCTTGGGATCTGGTAGATACCCTAAAGAAGGGAACATATCTAGTTTCTACAAAGTAAGATTCCTAACAGTCCCTAAGAATTCAAGCATATCATACAAACACTAAACAAATTAATGGTGGATAAAAGGTGCCAAGTTAAGCCTGACTAAGTGTCCCAAGAAGCCTGGTCTGATATGCACTGAGCAGTTTTGACAAAAGCTTCACAATAGTCCAAGAGGAAAAGTGAGGTCACAAATAGGCTCTTGATGCACAGATGGGGAGAGACTGGGTAGTGTTCCCCACTTTGCCTTTTGGTAACACAGCGACAACATCCCAGACCAACAGAGGTTTATAGCAGAATATCCCCCTAATTCTCAGTATCAGAAATTTCAAATGCCTTCCTGCTACAGCTAAAGCTGATTTTCTCCAAAACAGCTTATCATCATCATCATCCCCGCATTCCTTTGTGGATCTCTCACGAGGTCCCACCACACTTCTGAGTGTCCAGGTCTCCCTTCTCTTTCTGCCTATTCAAGTTTGGCACAGTTTAGCATTACTCACCACTCTTCAGAACTATCAGGTTTGCCTCTTTTATTAGATTATGAAATTCTCAAGGGAAGGAACTGAATTATCTATTTCTGTATCCTTCACAGTGCTTTGAATACAGTACATGCTCAGTAAGTGATTTTTCATTATCTGGTTTCTCTTTATTTAAGTGCCTCAATTCATTCATCTACTTGGCCAATCATCCATCCATTCATTTACCTGTTTATTAAACACCTACTGAGAATCTACTGGTTTGGGAGAAGCAAAGGTTTCAGAACAGTCTTAGTAGTTGCCAACATTTTCTGATTCCCATAGCTTCCCCATTAATTCATTCTGTGGCCCAAAAGACTCTATTGCTCATACAGAGGTTCTATACTGCATTACCTTCAAGAGGTGAAATAGAAAAAGGGGAAGAAGGAAAAACTCATTTGTGACATTTTTTTGAACCTTGACCACAGTTCACATGGGTCTGGCTTATTATTCTCAGACACTTACAATGGGGGATACAGTGGAGGAGAGCAGAAAATAATGCTTGGGCAGAAAGACTGATTTACAAGGATGTTCCTTTCACTGCTACTTAAACCACAAAAAAAATGTGAGGTATGTTCTCATTTGATGCATCATGCTGTATAAGACTCTGTACAGATGTGTTGTTATTGTCAGGTGTCACTGAATTGGTTCTGACTCATAGCGACCCTACGTACAAAGGAACAAAACACCACCCAGTCCTGCACCATCCACACAGCTGCTGTCATGCTTGAGACCCCTGCTGCTGCCATTTTGACAATGCACCTCATTGGGAGCATGCATAAAATGCAATGTTAACGTGGCAAGTTACAGGTATTTACAATGGCCTGCTATTTTGGCTTAGAAATTCACTGGGAGAGGGAAGGAAATTGAAGATAATCTTCAATGTATTAACAGTGGCACTGTAGAATAAGCACTGGACCAAAAAGTTGGTTTGAACTACAAGGCTGGTGGTGGGAAACCCTATGCAGGGTTGTTAAGAGTAGGAACTAACTCAATAGCACTTAACAACAACATACCCAGTGGTAAGATTACAAATAATTTTCCTCTTTGAGTTTAAAATCTTTTTCCAGAATTTAAAAAATTATTCTGAATAACTTAAATAGGTAAAGAAGTGATTATCTCTCTCTATATCTATCTATCCTTTTAGGGCACAGAGATGAGACCAGACCGTTGCCAATCAGGAGAGCTTTCTGACAGGACGGCGTTAGAACAGCAGCTCAGGCTGAGACGGGTCCTCTCATTCCCTGCTCTCCACCTCACAGGACGACAGAGCCCATAAACATGAGGCAAGTCCACTTCAATGGTTGCTCTATGTCTGCCTTTTACACAAAGATGCATTGCACATGGATTCCCATCAAGTTCCCAACTTTTGTCTCTTCAAGTATGTGTGCAAATGAACAAACACGTTTGGTATTTTCCCTCTGCAAAGACCACTGCTTTGCCAAGCAAGTCACAGAGGCTTAGTTAAAACAAATCATGAGGTTGTTGTTATTGCTGTCACGTCAATTCCAACTCATAGCAACCTTATAGGATTTCTGAAGCTTTAAATCTTCATAGGAGCAGCAAGCCTCATCATGATTAGTGAAACCAAATTTCCAAGAGCAAGCAAATAGGCAAACAAATTCAGAAGTAATACCTTTTCCAATTAAGTACATTACAAAATTTCAGTAATATGCAATGCTGTTCAGAAGAAGCAAAATGCTTATATATGGGTGGAAAGTACACTGAAAGCTAAAGATAAAAACAGAAACAATATCTGATGTCTCCAAATGAGGGCTCCAAGTGAGACAGGTAGATTTACTGTGTGAGAAGGGAGGCAAGGGTTGTTTGAGCAGAGGCCATACCTTGGTCTGGAAAGTGCAAAACATGTGCGTTAAAAACGGATGCTCCCAGGCCAGCGAAAGGACTCTCTTCTCAACCATCGTACACTCCACATCATCGTCCATCAAGACCACATCTTTCTTTAAGGCTTTTATTGCAAAAAACTGATTGGTTTTCTTGAACTCTGCTAGAAAGACCTAGAAGAGAGGGGAAGAATTTTTACTTTTTTAGAATTTGGACTCACTTTCATGAAAGAGACAAGGTCTTGAGACACCTGTGTTAGGTAAGGAAAGAAGATTCCCCTCCTCATCTTTCTCCTTCCTTTTGCTGAGAAATATTACAGTATTTTGCTGGCTTACTTCACAGTTTCTGTTTAGACCTTTCAACAGGCTTCAAAAAATCAATATGCAATGGGATGGGATGTTACCAGTACAGCCCTATTTTAGAGATGAATTTCAAGTTCAGTTCCAGACCACAGCAATACAGCTAACATTGCAATAAGACAAGTTACACTTTTTTGTTGTTGTCTTCCCAGTGCTTACACTACACTGCAGTCTATTAAGTGTGCGATCATAACATCATTAAAAAGTTAGAAATAATGTGCGAATTACCAAAATGTGACACAGGTACACTAAGGGAGCACAAGCTGTTGGAAAATACTGCCGGCTCTATGCAGGGTTGCCTGCCATTTGTGTACACACACACAACAACACAATGTCTACAAGGTGCGATAAAAGAGCATTCCTGTATCTGAAAAAATTCCACTTAAAAATGCCTTCCCTGACTGCCCAGGAAAGTGAGAAATTCACAGAGACCAAGTGTTTATTGAAAGAAGATACGGCAAGCAGAGGAGAGGAGGGCATGATTGCATTTGGAACATTATTACAAATGAGCATAAAACATAGCTCTAAGTTTGACCCCGTTTTTCAAGGCAAAAAAGAATATGTGAAGGACACAGTTCTCCTTATGTACTTAAAGGAGTCCTGTGTGGTGCTGTGGTATAAAGCACTGGACTACAAGGGGGCTACAAGGTCAGTTTGAACCAAAAGGTCGGTGGTTCAAACTCACCAGCTGCTCTTCGGAAACCCTATACAGGGTCACTATGAGTCAGAACTGACTTGACAGCATTTAACAACAATGTATTTAACGGAATCCCTATATATGCAAACTGTTAAGTTGTTATGTGCTGTGGAGTTGGCTCCAACTCATAGTGACCCTGTAGAGGGTTTCTGAGGCTGTAAATGTTTACGGGAGCAGAAAGCCTCATCTTTCTCCCACAGAACAGCTGGTAGTTTTGAACTGCTGACCCTGAGGTTCATGGGCCGATTATTAACCACTACGCTACCAGAGCTCCTTAAACTGTTAAGTTAGCAGTCAAGTACTTAAACTGTTAAAAAGTACTTGGCTGCTAATCAAAAGATGAGTGGTTCATGCCTACCCAGAGATGCCTCCGACAAAAGGTGCAGCAAGCTACTCCTGAAACATCTGCCACTGAAACCCTGTGGAGCACAGTTCATCTCTAACACATATGGGGTTACTGTGAGATGGGATCGATTCGAGCAACATTTCATCTCATGGCACAGAAACTAAAAATACTTTCAGGCCCTACTATGTGTCACGCATTCTACCATGTGCTATCTAATTTAATGCTTGTCCCAAAACATTCTGAAATGTGTGGCCTATTTTCTAAAAAGAAAACTGAGTTAAAGAAGTTAAGTAATTTGCTCAGATATATGGAGTTATTCAGTGGATGAGAGACATCAATATTTATTCCATTTGATCCCATGAATCTTATGTGAGAGAGTAGGGAGTCCTGGTGGTGTTGTGGACTAAGCAGTTGGCTGTTAACCACAAGGTCAGTGGTTCAAACCCATCAGCTACTTGTAAGGGAGAAAGGTGAAGCTGTCAGCCCTCATAAAGGTTTGCAATCTTGGAAACCGTAAGGAGCCATTCTACTCTGTCCTATTTAGGGTGGGGCTGCAGGATAATGCAGTGGATCACAAGGTCAGTTTGAATTGCAAGGCCAGCAGCAGTTCAAACATACCAGCCGCTCCTTGGAAACCCTATACAGGGTTGCTATGAGTTGGAGTTGACTCGATGGCACTTAACAATAGCAGCATGTGAAGCAAGATTCAATGACAGAGAGTCTTGTTTGTTTGTTTTGATATGAGACAGTTTCAACAACTTTGCTTTTACAAATGATGCAGCAACAGACTATTGAAATTTGCAAGGACATGGCAGTTGAAGATAGAAAACTCCAACCCCAGTCTCACCTCACAGTCATTTACTGGCTATGGAAATTCCAGCAAGTCAGTTAACCGCCCAGGGCTTCGATCCTAACCTCTAAAAGAGATAATGATAGTGAATTCTCAGACTTATGGGACTATTTGAATCAAATGAACTACCGTGTGGGAAGGTGGTTTGTAAAATATAAAATGCTCTGCAAATGATAGTTATTAAGAATATTTGTCATGTGCTTTTCTTACTGACTTTCAGGAAATGTTGGAAGCCAAAATCATACTAAAATTGCACATGTCTAGGATTTAAAATCTAGTTGAGAATTCTGGCACAAATTGATGATATATGCATATTCCCAGAAAGCATGCAATGTGGGTTTAAAGGTATATTGAGAAAAAGAATACAGTGGTTATCATTTTGCCAAGGAACCATACTTCTTAAACGGAATCAAAAAGAAAAACACATTTTGGAGGATTCTTATTGTTGGGAGAAAGGGAAATATGGAAGTCTCATTTTTCTTGGGTGCGTTAGTCTCTTTTCCTGAGGTCACGCAGTCTAATCCTTTCAGGCGTAGGGACATACTGCCTTGGGACATAGAGCAGACTACTCAAAGCTCTTGGTTGTCCATTAGGGTACTACTACAGCTTATATGTTTGACTTTGCATCTTTCTTATTATTACATTCCTGTGTTAGTTGCTGTTGAGTCAATGCTAACTCATGACGATCCCGTGTGTGTCAGAGTACAACTGTGCTCCATAGAGTTTTCAAGGCTTTTGAAAACAGATTGCTACGTTTGTTTTCCAAAGTGCCACTGGGTGCATTTGAACCTCTAGGCTAGTAGTTGAATGCTTAACCACTTGCGCTAGTAGTTGAATGCTTAACCACTTTAGGCTAGTAGTTGAATGCTTAACCACTTGCGCTAGTAGTTGAATGCTTAAACACTTTAGGCTAGTAGTTGAATGCTTAACCACTTGCGCCACCCAAGAACTCCTTCCTTCTTATTCACCTTGTTCAAATGTCGAAATCTACATGGGGAAAGAAAGATAAACATGTCATTTAACAATTTAAAGCACTCATTTGGTCATTGCTTCTTTCAATAAAACATTCCAAAACCAGCCATAAACTAAAAAGCTGAAAAGACAATTTCCATCTATATAATGTGCTTTCAATTTTTGGTAACAGGTTATAATTGCACATTAATTGATGCTAAATTATAATGAAGACTGGCTGTAAAATTGCCTATTACACTGAGATTAACACCAAATGAGTCTGCTGTGGTTAATATCATCATGGAAAAGAACTAGAAGAATGAATGTCTATCAGCTACAGTTTGCAGGGCAGCATCGAATTTTCTGAAGGTGTTTAAACCAACCCCACAAATGTAGCACAGTGTTATTCTGCTGTATTGGACACTCAGCTGCATTTTAGCTGATTATTAAATGAACTGGGTAACGTTTTCCTGCCAAAGTCTGTGAGCAGGTGCTGAACACAATGCTGGTTTTGGATGAACTAATTCACAGAAGAGTACTCTGGCTAAAATTTCCTCAGGAGTTTCATCCAAGTATATAAAACAAATGGGAGCCCACTTAGTACTTTAGACTCCTAATAGTCCATTAAACCCCCAAAAAACAAATCCACTGCCATTGAATCAATTTCAACTCATAGTGACCTTGTACAGGGTTTCCTAGGCTGTAAGTATTTACAGGAGCAGAAAGCCTCATGTTTATTCCTGGGAGTAGCTGTTGGGTTTGAACTGGGGACCTTGTGGCTAACAATCCAGTGCTTATCCTACAGCATCACATCTAAAATATCCTAATAATCTACATTCTATATATATCAGGGCTTTCTAGAGAAAAATAATCACTAGTATGTACTCGTTCATATTTATGGATGAAAAGATAGATACGGATTTATTGTAACCTGTTGGGTGTGGCACTGTAGATTAAGCACTGGAGTGGTAACCACAAGATCAGTGGTTCAAACCCAGCAGTCGCTCCTCAGAAACGCTATACAGGTTCGCTGTGAGTCAGAACCAACTTGAAGGCACTTAGTAATAACAACAAATTACCTTTACAGCAACATCTAATATTTGACTAAACAATAAAATACCATAGCTTAGCCAAGTTGACATATAAAAGTAACCATCACATCAAATCATTCATCCTTAAAATCACTAGCTTGAAATTTTTCTACAGTCATTGAGATTTAATTATATTTTCTTAAATTTTGTCTTTGTCATCTTTCTTTCTCCCCTGCCTGTCTTCTCCTTTATCCTTCCCTTTATCTCCCTTTATCTTTCTCCTTTCTGTGTCCTGGTCGGCATGGAGAACCCATCACATGAATGTGCTGTAGGGAGAATTCAGGATGGAATTTGTACATCAAACATTCCTAGGACTCATAAGCTACAATCTGAGGATGTTGGAGAGGAGGAAAAGTATATTTAAAGTAAAACAACACTCTGAGTTTGAGAAAGTAATAAGAGAGGGGAAATAAAGAGGTATGTGAATTAGAAAGTGGCTGAGGCATCCATCCTCATTTCTTTGGTACACAAGAATATCAAAACACATAAGGGTGTGGAATGTACACCTTTCAAAGAAGTGTGTCTTTGGGGAAAGAAGCAGCCAGAAAGCAGAGGCTGCTACTGCCCTAGGGCTTTCCAGGGTCCACATTTATTCAACCACTTTATACATTCTCTTAAAATATTCAGCAGTGCTTTCTCACACACCACATAAAGTTCTGATCCCCACAAATTTAGTTGCACTGACTAGGAGTTTTGCTTTTCAATATCTGGGATTTGGTCTATAAATTTACATAACACAGTTATCATACCTTGCCAAAACTTCCTTTCCCCAACATTTTGTGTAAGATAAAGTCCTCAATTTTCAATTTAATATGTGGAGATGGTCGTTCTATGTTCAGTTCAGGTTCTGGAAGATGGCAGATTTTATCCATCCCGTCCATGGTAGAATCCCAGGAGATTCCTTGAGGCTCTGGAAATGGCAAGTAAGTGATTAATATGGAGTGATGGAGGACCATTCTAGTTACTCAGATCATAGGATTTCTCTTCCACTTCCCTTCCTGAGACCTTGTCTGCCATACTGGAGGGAGAAGGGATAGAAAGGGCTACAGCAGAGTGCAGCTCCTCTCCTTCTGTCTGTAAGGACAACTTCCTCCTGTGATCCTGGCATCGTTGGGGTATGACTGTGTCTCTTGATTTGAAGGAGCCTCTAAAAATTTGAGGAAAAATTCCGTGATCTTTTCATTCCATTTTTTCATGAACTTTGTGAAGCCCCCTTGCATAGTCAATAGGCTGAGTAACAGTTCAATTTGAGAATATATTCTATGATGGAAAAACGTGGGAATGGAAGAGTGCAACAGGATGAACATAAGTTAATGTCACTGAGCTGTAATATGAAGAACGTTGAGACGGCAAACTCTACTTTACACGCATATATATTTACCACAATGAAAGTTCAAAAAGAAACACATTCCAATCAGTAAAAACTCATATGCAAAACAAATGAGAACTTATAATAATGTCAAATGGTGGACAAATCATAATTTTAAGCAGATTTAAGAAAAAAAAAAAATGATTCTCAAGTGCCTCTGTGGCTCGTGGCCCCAGTGGCATCAATTTCTGTGCCTTGCAATGTGAAACACGGGGAAAGATACGAGCTGCATCATTCAATAGTTTTCTGGCGAACAGGTTGCTCTAAGGAGATGAGCTCTGGGGCATAGAGACAGTTCTTCAATCTAACCCAATTTTTTCTTTTTAAATTAAGATAATTCATTCTTTGCTCAATAATTTCTTGCTAGAGAAGGTGTAGGAAAAAAATGTTTTTGGAGGGGGTGGGTGCTTACACCTCTTAGAAGGCCCTGGTGGCACAGTGTCAAAGCACTTACCTGCTAACTGAATGGTTTATGCTACGGCAGAAAGCTATCTGTTGCCATAAAGATTACAGCCTTACAAACGCTATGGGGGCAATTCTGCTGTGAGTCAGAATCGATTTGATGACAATGGGTTTTAGTTTTAATCTCTTACAGCAGGGCTTTTATGTTTTTAATCGCTAGGTTTATCTTTTATGATGTTGTTTCTGTTGTTAGTTGCCATTGAGTTGGCTCAAACTCGTGTGTAATAGAACAAAACGTTGCCTGGTCATGCACTATCTTCATTATCATTGGTCTATTTCAACTGGTATGCTTGAGAATTTCACAGTCCAGCTGAAGCCAGGAATATGTCTATTTTATAATGTATGCTGGAATTAGCAAGTCCCGAGTCATGCAGGTATATCCTTCTAAAAACGACCTTCAAATGTAGGGGGGATACATTTCCATGATTCCATAAAATGTTAATGAGTTTTTGGCATGATATTCTTCCTTTTTCTAAACTTAAACATCCCAGAAAAGTCCCAAAGGTGCAGACTAAGATTGTCTACTGTGGTACCCTCACCACTGATTATCATGGTATACTCACTTCTGTAGAACCATTTAACAGGGATAGAAAAGAACATTCTAAAACTCTTAGGAAAAGTTTGAACTTTGTTTCCTCCAGATTTTTCCTCCCATTTTCTTCCCTCTGCTCCATGCCCTGGATCCTTTATAAAAGTATTCTAATGAGGAGTGCTTTGGTTTCACTTCTAAAACATAGGAACCTCTTAGTTGGTGGCTTTGTTATTGTTAAGTGCCATTGAGTCAGTTCTGACTCATAGCAGCCCTGTATAGGGTTTCTGAAGAGCAGCTGGTGAGCTTGAACTGCTGACCTTCTGGTTCAAACCATCTGTCCATATTAACCCACAGCGTCATACCAGGACTCCAGGTAAGGTTAATAAATATTAATGATTGACACTGATGCTACTGCGGATTAGAAGAGTTACCTTTTTTCCCTGGTGTTGGCAAATATGGTAGCCTTGTTTCATCTTTCATGGAACGTGGGAGACCAATTTCAACTGGACCTTCTCTGTAGATATGCTCAGTGTCTCTTAAGCAGCGAGCCTAGATCACAAACAAATAGTCCACATTCATTTTGATGTGAGAGCTCAGCCTGCTATTCATAGGAACAAAAAGTCATTTAAGATTCCTAAATGTGTAAAATAACCAAAGCTCCTCTTTTCTTCAACAGCTTCTTGGGTTCTCCCATCCTATGAGAGTCTATTGAACGTTTTACACTAGCATAATATATTCACCTCTGTCACACTTTTCTTGGGATTAACTGGATTCTCCCAGGTTATTCATATCATTCCATCACAAATTAAAGCTGGAAAGTTAATGGATGACAAAATAACTCATGAGGGCAATGTCAAGTCTTAAAGAGAGATAGTCCATGCGTATGGGAATTCAGCATTCAGCAAATGCCAACTTAGCAAATGGTAAATCTTAGTGTTCTGAGGGGTTTCCAGAGATGAATTCAGCATATAAGTAATTCCATCTGCCAGGCTATCAGATAGCCCCAAGATACTACGTATAAAACTAGCCATGAATTCTCAAAAATTCAAACTAGTTTGCTTAGTTCTGCTCTTGCTCATTCCAAACATGAATTTAAGACCTTATAAAGTTTACACAGTACACATGTATAATATAAATGAATATTTCATAGAGGAGTTATGGATATGAAGATGGGAGTTGGGGGTCATAGCTAGTCTCAGAAGGCTATTTCATGCTGCCCTGTAGAGTTATTACAGATGAAAGAGCAAAAGAACTCCAGTGGTTCCTGTAGACCTGTGGCATGGTACTTTAAGGAGTAGCTCTGGTAGCGTAGTGGTTACGAATCGGGCTGCGAACCTTAAGGTCAGTGGTTCGAAACTACCAGCCGCTCCGCGGGAGAAAGATGAGGCTTTCTACTCCTGTAAAGATTTACACCCTCGGAAACCCTGTACAGGGTCGCTATGGGTCGGAACCAACTCGATGGCACTTAACAACAACAACAACATACCAACTAAAGTCCTTTCCTACCTGTTGAGTACTCTCGATCATTGCCAGGGCTTCAGCCATTAGCTTCTGGTTTATGCCACAAAGGTTAGCCACTTTTGTTTGGCATTTGTGATGTACATTCATGCCACATGCTGCAAAGAAGAAAGAAACACAGTGACCAAGAGTAACCACTTCAGGCCTTTACATATGATCTGCTTTATGTAGACTCTGTAGGATAAACACAGGAGAATGGACCACAAGGTTGGCAGTTTGAGCCCTCCAGCCACTCCATGGAAGAAAGATGGGACTTTCTGCTCCACAAAAATTTACAGCCTCAGAAACCCTATAAAGGGTCACTATAAGTCAGAACTAACTTAACGACAACAATGCATGCATGTATAGTAGAAGGAACAATTGGCAAGTCCCCAGCCCCTTCTTCCCATCAGAGGAAGACACCAAATACAAATCATTCAGTTAAGGCAGTGCTTTTATGATGCCACTACATTAGCCACATCCTCTTCCCTGGGTCACACACACACCCCAGAGACTTCTCAGTGATAATGGGAATTTATTGTCTCTTGAGGTCGAGTCAGAGCCTTGTTGAGGTAAAAGTCTGTTTTCAAATTGGCTTTGTACTGTACCACTGCTGACAGAAAACAATAAAATCGTATTGGCTCTTCCTGGTAGTCATCTGAAATGCTGGAGTGGAAAGGTCTTTGCTTTCACTCTCCAGCCTTCTTCCTTTCTGAACTGGACTTCCAGGAGCGTCTCTGTCCTCTAAGCAGACATGGAGGGGCAGTCCAAGGCTGCAGAGTGGCTCTGAGGGGTGGAGGTGGTATGTGCATTTGTGTGTGCTAAGTGAGGGTCAGTCAGGGAGAGGATGCTGGAGTGAACCAAGGACCACCATCTCACCACATGGGAGAGGTGGAGTTATCAGAGTTATAAGGAGACCCACTGGATACAGGTCAGAGAGCCAGGTTAGCGAGGTCTCCTAAGAAAAGAATTGAGAGGTTGAGTAAAACTCAGTGAATTCCTGGATCGCATACAGAGCATTTATACTTTCTGCTAAAATTTATTTGAGGCTACTAAAAGAATTCATTTCTGTAGAACAAAAAAGTACAGAAAAAGGTGGACACATTTAAATATGGAGATCTTTTCATACTCTTCTCTTACTTGCTTTGTGTCTCATGTAAATAAAGACCCTTTGGCAGCCCAAACTTGTTTGAGTATGCTGTGGCTTTTCAGTATGATAAAAGAACTTGGTGAGACAAACAATCACTGATTATCACTGCCTCTTCTTGTTCTTGTCCCTATTTCTGACACTATCTCCCAGGGCCCTCTTCTGTCCTAATTGTCCTAAGAGATCCATGAGACATCTGTACTTTTATCACCAAATGCCCTTCCAAGAGCTGTATGGAAAATGTGACACCATGTTTCTCATATTTAATGCAACACCAAAGGAGAGGAAAGGCAAATGGAGATTGTTTTGTAGAGATGGGACACTTGTCTTAAGGATGTCTTAAGACCTTGTTAAAAACAAATAAGATAACCTCTCCAGATTAATTACTAAATTTTCTAATTGTGGCAGAAAAGTTTGCTGAAGTATAATTCTTCTTTTTCTTCTCCCTAATGATACTTTTCAATCTCTGCTCCCTTCTTCCTCCTTCCTAGACAATATCTTGGTGTGGAAAGAAAGGCTATGTTATTCCGCCTCAGGGATTTGAGTGGGCAGAAAACTAAGCTGAAGCTAGATAGCCCCAAAGGGAAGAAACCCGGCAAAGGTTTCAGAGAGCAGAGAGGGGGAGAGACAAGGAAAGGGAAGTACCCCTTCTGCTTTCTGAGACTAGAGGTGGGGGACGGGTGCAGCAGTATAAGGGCACTCTCATTGCTAGCTTGCATGGTGCACCAAGACATGGGACTCCAGCTTTGACAACAACAACAACAAAATCACAAAGCTCTGCATGTAATGTAGAACCAGAAGCCAAGACTTAGGGACCGTGGTGGACTTGAAGGACAAAGACCATAGTGACAAGCTGAAAAGTAGGAGCTAGTGATCTTTATCTAGTTTTTAGGGACGTGTATAAAAGACTCACAGAATCTTATGTGATTATAAGACGGTTGTTGTGGTTGCTGATTTGTGTCATAGAATTGATTCTGACTCCTACTGACCCATGTGACAGAGTAGAACTCCTCCCCTATGCTGTAATCGTCTAAGCGGCTTAACAACAACACAATCTTTATGCAGGCAAATCATCAGGCCTTTCTCCCACCGAGTCGGTTCTGACTCATAGTGATCTTATATAGGGTTTCCAAGGAGTGGCTAGTGGGTTTGAACCGCCGACCTTGTGGTTAGAAGTCCAGGGCTCATGATTAGATTGAATTTCCCCTGGAAGGACTGAGCATTAGAGTGCTGATTAAGTTGATTTAAAGATCATAAAGATAGGGATATTTCTTGTACATCTGAGTTAATGGCCTAAATTCACATCTACTACATAACTGAAAAGGAGCTCTGGTAGCATAATGGTTACGAATCGGGCTTCAAACCTCAAGGTCAGCAGATGAGGCTTTCTGCTCCTGCAAGAAAGAAAAAAAGCCGAAAAAACCCACAACAGGGCTACGAAGAAGAACAAACGACACCACACAAAACAACCACCACTACATAAATGAAGAATAAAGCTCAAAATAGAAACAAACTTTTTGTTCATTTTTTTACATCACATACAATGCTATTTTAGGGTTCAACCAAGATAAAGAAAGATCAGTGGGAAATATTTAAGAGGAGCAAGTTATTGAGGCCAGAACAAGAGAGGAGACCTGGGTGGGCTGCTGGTTACAGCTAGCACAACTCTCCCAGACTTGCATGACTTTGAGCTTCAGATTACAGACCCAGAGCACTGAGATGCTGTGTGATCCACAAGTCCTGAGAACAAAAGGCTAAAGGACGAAGGGGTTTCCTGAGTGGTGTTATTACTGTACTGGGCTACTAAAGGACGGTTGGAGATGTGAGCCAGCTCAAAGGTACCTTGGAGAAAAGGGTTGGCCATATACGTCTAAAAAAAAAAGTTACTGAAAACCCTAAGAGCACAGTTCTACTCGCCATACATTGGAATTCACTTGACAGCAACTGTAATTGTTTTTAAAGGTAGATTAAGGATCAGCACTAGACTGCTAACAATAAAGTTGGTAGTTCAAACCCACCAGTTGCTCCTTGGAAACCCTATACAGAGTTGTTATGAGTCGGAACTGACTCGGCAGTACTTAACAACAATAATTTCACTTACTGTACTCATCTGATCCTTGTATACATATGTGTGTCTCTGTGTAAAGGACAACTCTCTGAAAATATTTTGTCATTAATCTGAAGAAAATTTCTTATGAGATATTAACATTACCAGGAAAAAAGATCTAACATAACCATTTGAAAATTCCCACTGATGGACCTGAAATCTCAAGTACTACCTGACTCAGTACAAATAAATAAGATTGTTACCGTGGAATCAGGCAGTAGAAGCTATGTACAGTTATACAGCTATAATTTTTGTTGTTGTTAAGTGCCATCAAATTGGTTATGCTATTATAATTCCATATCATTATAATAGTATGTGGATATTAGCACATCTGTGTGTAAAGAATTTAGCACAATGCCTGGCAGCAAGTAGGTGCTCAACAAATACACCTTTTCTTTCACTTTCATAATTGATTACATTGAAATGTGTACTAAAATATCTAGGTGAAATTTTAACAGCCTTCTGTAAATTTAATTGGATTATTCTTTCTCAGATAGTTCATCATAAAGCAAAACAGTATTTTCTCTGTTAACTAGTATACGTTCTTACCCCAGTATACATGCATAGATACTTTCACAAGAATCCACCTGGAGTAAAACCTTTTATGTATATTAAAAATCTTCACTATAATTCAACCCAAATGCCCATCAATGAATAAATGGATGGGGGGAAAAAAAGTTGTCTATCCATATAATGAAATATTACTCAGTCTTAAAGAGAAATTAAGTTCTGATACATACATTGACTTATAAGACATTATACTGTGTGAAATAAACCAAACACAAAAGGACAAATATTGTATGATCCCAAACAGACTGTCCTAAAGTCAGTTCCGCCTCATAGTGACCCCATAGTACAGAGTACACTGCTCATTAGGGTTTCTGAGACTGTGAATCTTTATCGGAGCAGACAGCTTCTTCTCTCCTTTACATGAAATGCCTAGTACAGACAAATGCGGAGCCCAAGGTGGATTAGTAGTTACCAGGGCTGGGGGAAGAAAGGATTTGGAAGTCAAATACAAACAAAACAATCTTTAACATAATAAAAGTGGTGTTCCTTCCACCCTTCAGAATTTTGAGGTCCTCAACACCATTCCCCCTGGAGTTATAACATTTCCTTTCCCATTATTAAAATAAGGCAAACATAAGGGCTCAAACTCTTAACAAGTAAACTCACTGCTGTCCATTTAGTTAATTCCAGCTCATGGTGACAGCTGTTAAGACCAAGTAGAATGTAACCTAGGGTTTCTGTGGCTCTGAATCTTAACGAAAGTTGATGGACTCATCTTTCTCCAGTGGTGAAGCTGGTCGGTTAGCAGTTCAACACTTAACCCACTATGCCACCAGGGCTCCTTCAGTAAGGACTGTTGTTGTTAAGTGTCATTGCATCAATTCTAACTCATAGAAACCCTGTATAGGGCTTCCAAGGAGCGGCTGGTGAATTTGAACTGCCCACCTTGAGATTCATATGATGTTGTGTCCAGTGCTTATCCTAGAGCACCACACCTGGACTACATTCAGTAAGGACTAGCATAACAGATTTGAGATTTTTCTTTGCTCCTTACAACTATAACCAGATCTGTGCTTGTTTCTGACACAGTTATAAGGAAATTGTCCACAACAGTTGTTGTTGCTGGGTGCCTTTGAGTCAGTTCTGACTCAACTGACTCCATGTGAGAGAAGAACTGCCCCATGGGAGTTTCTTGGCTGTAATCTTTATGGAAGTAGATCACCAGGTCCTTCTCCCATGAGCGTCTGGGTGGGTTTGAATCTCCAACCTTTCTGTTTAGCAGCTGAGCTGTACCATCTTAGGTGTTTGTTACTAACCTATCAGGTGACAAGCCGGGTCTCTCTGAGTGCAAAATGTCCCTCTTGATGACAATTTTTATAGGAGTTATACTGAAGAGTGAAAACAGGGTGAGGTCCAGAGGCAGCCCTACTTACACAGATGGTTTATGGGAAGGCAAGATGGGATAGTAGAGTGAGGCACAAAAAAAGGAGAAAAAGAGGAGAAGAAACAAGATGAGGGCAGAGTCATATGAAAGTGGACTGAGCTGAGGCTACAGGGCAGGTGGTAGAGGTTGGAGGGAGCAAAAACAGGAAGTGAAAAGGAGAAGGAAAAGGAGGGAAGGAAAAGGGGAGGGAAAAGAGAGGGAGCTACTTGAAATGAAGGTGGTAGATGGGGGAGAGAGAATGGAATGGGAAAGGAAGAATGTTAGGAACAAGGGACAGAACAAAGCAGGGCAGTGAGTTGTGAAATAATGCCAAGGAATTCTCATGGAAGTTCTGAAATATAGAGGCGTAGTCACACTATCAGATAGGCCTGGCCTCAGCAAGTGGAGCACTCGAACTCCAGGGAAAGGACACCAGGAATCATGAGACTGGCATAGGAATCTCACAGGATAAGAATCTGATTAATGCTGTTTCTTTTTATACAAATGATGAAAATATATTTTGCCTATAAACTCTTTATCTATATTATAATAAAACCCAAACTAAACCAGTTGCTATGGAGTCAACTCAGATCCATATGGCAGAGAGGTGTGCTCCGGTATCAGAGTAGAAATGTGCTCCATAGGCTTTCCAATGGATGATTTTTCAGAAGCAGATCACTAGACCTTTCTTCTGACGTGCCTTTGGGTGTATTGGAACCATCCAACCTTTTGATTAGTAGTCAATCAAAAACCACCCAGGAATCCCTATGCTATATAATATGATGCCTATATTCATGTGCCAGGTGTTCTTGAATAACTGTACAGAGAGGGAAAAAAAGTGATATTTGGGGGCTATGATGGTATTGTCAAGGTCAATTTTGACTACCTGTGATTTTTGTCTTAGGAAATGATTTGAAAATCTAAATCCTAGAGCCTCCATTAAGACGTGGCTCCAGGCATCATTAAAGGTGTGAAAGCACTTGGGATAAGGAAGCGGAGACTGCTTAAAATAATCTTCCACTAAGACATAAATAAATGTGGCAGAAATCAAAGTAGGGTCTTGCAGAGAAAAGGAAATGACTTATATTTAATAATTCACTTCTTGGAAAAGGTCATTTCTTCAGGGAGATGCCCTCATTTTATGCATCTATTCCCCAGACCCTGTCCCCTTCCTTGTTTCCAATCCAAATACAAAGGTGTTCTGTCAGTTCTCTTCTTGTTGGATTTTCTCCACCCCCTACTCCACACAGTACTGGCATATAACAGCATCTCCATTTCTAAAGTTGCCTTAGCAACTTGGAGTGTTATATCAAGAAAACCTTTTTCATTTTCTTTTTTGAGAAGGTTAAGTTTGAATAACTCCAAAAGTAAAGAATGTCAGATTTGGTCTCTACTCTAATCCCCAGCCTTTGAGGAAAGATCAGAGAAGAGAAATGATGTTTAGAACTGAATGTGACCTCTTCCCAGGCTCTCTGAGCTCACATCACTGTTTGGGACTAGATTCTCAATCTTAAATTACAGAATTAATTCCTTTATGCAGGATCACCTGCCAAGTCACAGTGCCAGGCTAGTTGCTTGGTGGAACTGAAAAAAAAAAAGAATTTACTTGCTGAGTCAAAGAAGAATGACAGGACACAGCACAGCCAGACACGTCAAAATAGTGAAGGGCAAACCCAGAACAAACAGGAACCAGCAGGTCAGGCTGAGTTAACCGAGATTCCGGGTAAAGGACTGAAATGCTGTCTTGCATTTTATGGTATAGCAGGAGACCACAAGCCAAGAGCCTTGACCTCTTGAACCTAAACTTGTTTGCACTTTTTTGGGAGAAGAAAGAGAATGAGGGTGTTATGAGGTGGAAGGAAAAGAACAGCAGTAGCTTACTGTCCCAGGAAGATGTCCCTCAAGATTATGGGGGCTCGTCTGGGCTGTGAGTAGCCGTCCTCCAACATTCTCCCTGTGCACTCGAAGCAGTTGTGAATTTCCCCGACGTGGTTCTGTAATGTCACACAATGGAGACTCACCGTCACATTTCAGTCCTTGTCTTGCCAGTCCCCACAACAGAGTCCCACAGTGCTCACAGAAAGTTGGGCTCTTGTAATTGTAGACTTTAAATCGATGCGGCATGTCAATTTTGAAGCGCTCCTTATGGAACTGAAAGAAGGGGAAGAAGGGTGGTTACACATTGTGTCCCTGGGTTCCCTCTTTCGATGTCTTAGCAGATACATGAACATAACCATCATTAAAATTAGAAAGCAACTGGAACCAAGTGTAGTTTAAACAAACAGTAATTGTTACATGTCATGTGGTATACCTGTTACCGTTACCCGGTATCTTTTCCTATTGCTGTTGAGTCCATTTTTATTCAGCTCTGTAGAGCTGCCCATGTGCTTTCCAAGGCTGTAACCTTACAGAAGCTGAGGGCCTCATCTTTCCCCCCGTGGAGCTGTTGGTGGTTAGTAGACCTTCTGGTGAGCAGCTGAGAGCTTAACCACTGTGCCACTTGTTATTGTTGCTGTTGTTACGTGCCATTGAGTCAATCCAGACTCATAGAGATCCTGTATAGTTTGAACATCTGCCCTTCTGGCATAATGCTTATCCTACAATGCTAGGGGTCCTTCATTTTTACTTGTCAAGTGTTAATAGTCAGATCCCAAGAAGGCAGGCAAAATTCACTCTTGTAGGTGACAGGCAAACTTAAAATACACAAATCCCAAGTAACCTGGAAAGAGTTGAAGTCTGAGATCTTAGCAAAGGTGGGCTAACATTTGGGAAGAGGGGACTAGGGCTATTTATCTAAATGGGATCTAAGTTAACTTTGTTCTTCTGTTCTTCCCTTCTTGCTATAATGCTTAATATAAGCATTCCCTTTCCTCTTGAAGCCCTAACTACTGCTTTGACCTTTGGAAGACACTGAAGATCGCTTCCTCAAGAGGAAACATTGCTACGCATTTATTAGCAGCAGAGTTTAATGCTTAAAACACATTCACACTTATTACATATGAACTGAGGTGACAACAATTCCTGCCAGGTGTGCATGATTATAGCACATGTCCTATCTCATGTGCACCTGATATTTCCTTTAACTCACAACATCCCATTTGAAGTAGCTTCAATTATATCCTCATTTGACAGGTGAAGACATTAGCCTAGAGAGAGCAAGAGACATTTCTAGATCACATAATTCTTGGGTGAGCTGAATTTTTTCTAAGCTTGGCAGTCAAAGTTAGAACCTGCTTTCTCTATTCACTTCGCTTTCTCCATATACAAAGGGTTTTCAAAAACTTCGTGGAAAAATTCCATTATCTTTTTTTTTTTTTTTTTTAGTTTTATTGTGAATTATGTGATCGTTTACATGGGAGAACATAAGTTTTACATTCATCCTATCGTATATTGTTTCATTGCCATGGTTACAATCCCCTCCATGCATCACCAGTCAATGAAAGGATACATCCGGTCATCAACACACAGCCCTTCTCCTTCCCTGGGTCCTGAGTCCCCAGCTGCTCCATCTCTCCACGTCATCATCTCTGCCTCTGGGTAGGGTCCCACTCTCTGCTCTTCTCCCTTCATGGTTCCAGGGACCTCTGCTCCTAGCCTGCAAAGTTAATCACTCCCTTCCTTGACACAAAATGTCCACTTTTACATTTACAACCTTCACAATCAGTCCTGGTAACAATTATTCACCCTTGCATCACAAGCAACCTATCTGCATTTCCTTTCATCTGTCCCACCTAGACAGATTGGATACTACTCAGTGGAGAGTCTACCTTCCTCCACGCCCTCTGGATCTAGGTTCCCTCTTGAAAGCTTGTAAGCCAGTCACTTCTTGCCTTTGTAGCCTCCCCATTTTGGATAGCCAATGTCAAAACTGCCCAACCCTGTCCAAAAATTCCATCATCTTTTAATTAAATTTTTTCCATAAACTTTTTGAAGCCCCCTCATATTGTAAAACCTGTAATACCCGTAATCTGTGTAAGGCAAAAACTTGTGAGAGAAGGAAAACTTATTTTCTACTAATAGAGAGCAATAAAATAAATGGTAAGACTGTACAGAGTGAAAGGCAGAAAACCTGTCTAAGGCCTAGAAAAACAGGGTAGTCCATTGAGTTCTGGCTCTCACAATTTTCACTGGATAGCCACTGTCATCAGTGTTACCTTATTGCAACCCTATGTGTTACAGAGTAGAACTACCCCATAGAGTTTCCTTGTCTTTAATCTTTAGGGAAGAAGATGGCCTTAATCATTACTCTACAATATCACAGTGGTATGGTGGACCAGGAGAGATGAGATGGGAGACCAATGCTAGTGGTAGAAATATTGTGGCATTAAAAATAAAAGTTTTCCAGAGTTCAGTCTCATCTTAAATCAAACATCACATTATAGATAGAGAGATATAGATACGGATGTTGTTGTTGTTGTTTATGTGCCGTGGAGTTGGTTCCAACTCATAGCAACCCTGTACAGGGTTTCCGAGGCTATAAATCTTTATGGGAACAGAAAACCTCATCTTTCTCCTGCAGAACAGCTGGTAATTTTTAACTGCTGACCTTGCAGTTCGCAGCCCGATTCATAACCACTATGCTACCAGATAGATACATACAAATATGTTCTTGTTAGGTGCCATTAAGCCAGCACCGACTCATAGCAAACCTATGCACAACAGAACAAAACACTGCCCAATCCTGCACCAACCTCACAATCATTGCTACGCTTGAGCCCACTGCTGTGGCCACTGTGCTAATCCATCTTCTTGGGGGTCCTCTTTTTATCCAGCCTTCCACTTTACCAAGCATGATGTCGTTCTCCAAGGACTGGTCCCTCCTGATAATATATTCAAAGTATGAAAGATGAAGTCTGACCATGCTGGCTTCCAAGGAGTATTCTGGTATACTTCTTCCAACACGGATTTGTTTTTTCTTTTGGCAGGCAGTCCATGGTACTTTTATTATTCTTATCCAATACTGTAACTCAAATGCATAAATTATTCTATGGTTTTCCTTATTTACTGTCCAACTCTCACATGCATATGAGGTTATTGAAAATGCCATGGCTTGGGTCAGGCGCACCTTTGACCTCAAACTGACATCTTTGCTCTTCAACACTTTAAAGAGCTCTTGTGCAGAGTGTTGATGATTGATCTGAGCAAAAACAAAGTCTTTGATAAATTCAATCTGTTCTTCATTTATCTTGATGTTATTTATTGGTTCAATGGTGAGGAGTTTTGTTTTCTTTACAATGAGGTGCAAACCATATAGAAGACTATGGTCTTGGATCTTCATAAGTATTTTAAGTCCTCTTCACTTTCACCAAGCAAAGTTGTGTCTTCTGCATATCTCAGGTTGTTAATTAGTTTTTCTCCCATCCTGATGCCATGTTCTTCTTCATACAATCCAGATTCTCGGATTATGTCCTCAGTATACAGAATAAGTATGGTGAAATACAACCATTCCTAATTTTAACCATTTGGTGTTCTCTTGTTCTCTTTGGAAGACTGCTTCTTGGTCTATGTACAGGTTCCACATGAACACAAGTGTTCCAGAATACTCATTCTCCACAATGTTGTCCATAGCTTGTCATGATCCTCACAATTGAATAATCAATAAAGCACAGGCCAACATATTTCTGATATTTTCTGCTTTCAGCCAAGACCCATCTGACATTAGCAATCATGTTCTTATCTGAATCCAGCATGAACCTCGGGCAGTTCTCTGTCAGTGTACTATGTATCGATATGGTGTTGTTGTTAAGAGCCATTGTGTTGGTTCCAACTTATAAGGACCATCTTTATAGGGTTTCTAAGGAGCAGCTGGTGAGTTTGAACCACAGACTTTGTGGTTCAAACTGACCTTGAAGTCAAGTGCTATCCTACCATATATCGGTATAGGTATGTATATACATACACAAGAGCTATTAGGAAGTTTAGTTCCTAATAACAATATGAATCCAAATGGGTGGTGCTGTAGGATAAAGCTCTGTAATGCTAAATAATTGCAATGTCCAATGGTTTGGTTCAAACCCACCAGCCCCTCCTCAGAAACACTATGCAGGGTCACTGTGAATTGGAACTGCCTTAATGGCAGTTATCAACAACATAATCTCTTATGTTGTTGACATTTTAAAGTGAGCATTTCACCTATAGTCTCTATAGAAATTTTTAAGTCAACCATTCATTTGAGAATGTGCACAGCAAAGAATTCTTATTCACTAACATGGTGATGGAAACCCTACGAGGCAGTTCTCCTGTGTCCTTCCTATAGGGTTGCAATGAAGTAGAATCGACTCAATGGCAATGTGATTTTTTTTTTTTTTTTGGTTTAGTTTCTATTTGGAGATCTTGCAAGGTTAGTTTTCATATACTTAATAAAAATAATGCTTTGGCAAGGATCATTCCCATCCCCTCTGTACACAGGTTTGATAGGGTTGGGCAACTTAGGCATTGGCTACCTAAAATAGGGGGGGCTGTAAAGGCTTACAAGTTTTCAAGAGGGAGTTTAGATTCAGACTGTTCAGGGGAAGGTAAAATCCTCGCTGAGTGTTTTTCTTCCTGTCTAGACAGGTCTGGTAAAAGGAGATGGGGATAAGACTCTTAATGATTCAGTAGTAATTGTTATCATGACCAACTGTGATTGCTGCAACTGTAAAGGCAAAAATTTTGTAAAAAGGGGTGAGTGGTTGATCTTATAGTCCAGGAACAGAGGACCCTGGGACCATCAAGGGAGAAGAGCAGAAGCGGAAAACGGTACCCTTCTCAGAGAAGCGGTGATGCCAGAGATGGAGGCAGAGATGAGGACATGGAAAGACAAAGTACCTGAAGACTCTAGACTCGTGGAGGGAGAGGAGCTGTGTGCTGGCGGCCGGGGGGCAGGCTTGCAGGTTGTGCCCTTTGGTTGTTTGGATGACTGTATATTTCTGAGTGTTTTGGTATATATCCTTCTCCACCTCCCCCACCCCTAAAACACACACACACACACACACAAAACCAGAGGGAATAGAAGCAAATAATGTTGAACGATGATGCATGCAGGGGATTGTAATCATTGCAATGAAACGAAATACGATAGGAAGAGTTTAAGGCTGATGTTCCCCCATGTAAACTGTCACTCAAATCACAATAAAAATTTAAAAACAAACAAACAAAAACAACGCTTTGGGGCCATTTTCTTGCAATAGCTGTTGTTGTTGTTCAGTGCCATGGAGTCAGTTCTCAACTCATAGCAACCCTGAATAGGGTTTCCATGTTTGCAATTCTTTGCAGAAGCAGAAAGTCTCAAGATTCTCCAATCTAGCAATGGTAGAATTATTAAAATTCATACTGTGTTTTATTTATTCAATTCTTAGTTTTGGTTAAGTTAATAACAACCATTATTGAAGAAAAAAGTGTTTTAGAGAGTTAGATTTTCATTGGTAAACTTAATGATTCAAGCTCAGGCATTATTAAAGTCCATCAGTGGGCTGAAAATTTTGAGATAAAATCATCACATTTCAGAAAAAGAGAGAAATCTAAATACATACCATGGTTTCTCGGCTATTGATAGCTGATCCTGTGCACTTAGCTATAACTTTATCAATACACTTCTTGTGAATTGCTGCATTACATTCTGAGAAGAAATAAATACAACTTAAGATCTACAGAAGTTTGGAAAACAGTCAAAAGAATGATGATAATACAATAAGAATCCTTCTTACTTACGTCGACACTGGTAGCCCTGTTTGTTCAGACCCCTGCAATAAAGCACATGAGTGTTTATATTTGCATGTTAGTCAACAGCAACACCAAAGACATTTAAAATGTAAACCAGCTCTCATGACGTCCTACGATCACAGAACATTGTCTGATCAGCAGTCCTAATGTGTCATTTACCACGAGTGTTAACATGGTGTTTTCATTTTCAGTTGCTCTGTTAAATGCTGACTTGCCAATTTCCTTTTCATTTGAGTATTTTAAAAATAAGTATGCAGACATTAAAATACTTGACAGAAAATGAAACATTTTCTTGTGACCACATGTCCATGTCCTACACTTAAGAATGCACTGTCTCACTAAGCTTACTCTAGATGAACAATGATATCTCTAAAGTATGGCATTGCTGTTTCTCAGAGTCTGAGAATATTTGCAACCAATAAAGTCCCAAGCTTAAGACCAATTCCTGGTCTTAACGCTTATTATTAGAAAGGAAGGAGTTTCTAGTAATTAGATAAAAACAGGTTGACTAAAATCCACCAAAAGTCAATTTAATCTTTCTATATCATGGTTAAGATGCTGTTGTGCATTAATAATTCAACAGTAGCCCAAAGGGAAAAGCATCCCATTGAGAGGCAAGGAATCCAAGAACTAGAAATAGGAGTCATTTCTAGTCTCCATTTTACCACTGCCTTTGCTATGTGGTTACTGAGGCTTAACCCAATCTTCATTTGAGGACTGTTAAGACATCCTAGAGTCTAGTGAACATTTAAACCCATCAGTTCAATGGGAAACTGCTCCCCACTGCAAAGACTGGTACCAGTAAAGATGGTCTGTTGAGGTGTTTTTAGTATAAAACTGTACACAGCAAATATGCCTCCCTCGTCCATTCCTGCCCTCTCACTGACAACAGCCTCCCGTTTAATCCCAAACTAAAATTCTTTGACCCTTTTTCTGGATTTATATTCTATAGGAACCACAAGATGGAAACCTTTCACTGAAGGCATAACCCAAAGCTTGAGGTGGAATGTCAAGTTACTGTACCAGACAAACTCATGGCAAACGGAGCAGAAAGTGGGTTGTGGGAAAAAGGTGGCGGTAAACTCATGACACTTGACGTGGTGGACTTTGGCCTGTTTGATGGCTCCCCGGCGGTGATGTAAAGCAAAGAAGCCTTCAGTCTCTAGTTCACCCAAGTCCTTTGTGTCTGTAGGAAGAGAACAGGGAACCAAGTGAAGTGTTGCGATGTATCTGCCACAGCTGTGTGGAAACAGAGAGGTGGTAAGGAACAGAGTAGGGCAAGGAACCGAGCAAGTACTGAGTAGCCAGAACAATACAATTCTAGGCATTTATTGCTATTGTTGCTGTTGTTAAGTGCTGTCAAGTTGGTTCCGACTCATAGCAATGACGCTTTATAGCGTTTCGAAGGAGCAGTTGGTGGGTTTAACTATTGACCTTGTGGTTAGCAGTTCAGTACTTATTCTACATGTGATAACAGGCAATTATTAAGAATGGTTAAATATTGAGCTTCTTTCCTTAATGCCATAATTAAGGATTACATTATTATAGGACTAAAACAGAAGTAGGATTATTGGTTCAACCCATGCCTCTTGAACTAGGCTTGCTGAATTACCCTCTTTCAATTTTTAAAATCAGAAATCAAAATTTTCAAGGTATTTTTAAACCTCTCTGTTCAATTTCAATGATGGGGCAACAAGAGAAGTCAGGGAATGTCAAATAATTTTCTGCTTGTAATATTAGAGAATAATGTAGTTGTTGATAGCCTCTTGGGAAATGCATTTTTAAAGGTCCCAGGATTCTTTATATGTAGCCATTTTTAGACAGGGTACAGTAGACTGAAGGCAGCTAGCCAGACTTTTGTGTGAAAACAAAGAACTCTGGAAAGTTGTTTAGATCTACCTCGTAAGACCCAGACTAATAAGAAGTACCAGTTAAAGACTACACTGGTCAATGTATATGGGGCAAAATAAAATGAAAAGGTCACTGCAATTTCTTAAATATCTAGGTAATACCAATGTTATCTAGTCATGCAAAGCAAACTATCAAATTCACATTTATTCATATCGCCTGGCCTCATAAAATCATGGCAGGTGGTTTGGGTAGCCACTGTCCACAGAGTCCTAATTTCTTGATGACAATGACATATTCCCAAGAAGTTGAAGTATTCTAAGATGGTAGAAATTTGAGAATACCTGAAACGCCCTGGGCTTAAGCCCAGACCCAAAGAAAATACAAAATAGTGAAATAGTCATGACTAATTAACATGCTGGGAGAGAATAACATGGAAAACAATAATGAAATAATACAAGTAATGATCATCACAGGATAGTCAATTTAATTAGTATAACTCCTATAATCATAATTTGTAATAGCTTGAAGGATCCTTGGATAATTCTATTCACTTTATTTTTAGAAGTAATAACAAATGAGGCTTAGACAGAATAAGGGGCCCAATATATTTTATAAATATAAAGAATTAACAATTAATATTTAAACTAAATTACATCCATCTGGTTACACAGAAGAGGTCTGACAGTATACTTGTTGCAAATGGCTTTGCCAAGGGCACCTTGTTTTTCATAACTCTAGTAGTGAGAAGCAATGGACAGGCAATGGTGGGTCATGGAGTCTATGGAGACCCTTCCACCAAGTCACAGGACACATTAGTTGTAAAATCTTCTCTGCAGTGCCCCACAGGACTGTTTCATGGCAATCCTGTTCTTCCAGATAAAGAGCATGTTGATAACTTTCTAGAGTTCCACAGATAAGTCGCAACTTGAAATCAAGTTAACACTTTTAAGGCTAGACAATTTAGGTCTTTTTACTTCAAACTGGGCTGGAAATAAACAAAGCTTGGTGAATGAAGGGTCAGATTTGGGGTCACTGAGCAATATTCTTTTGTATAAGTTCTGGTATAAGTGTGGAGGTCTATTTACAACTTGTGACTGAGTTAGTAGGCTCTTTACTATTAAGACTTGACTCATCTAGTTTGGGCCAACTGAAATAAAATGAAACAGAGTATAAAATACTTTTAAATTCAGGGAATAGAAATGAATTGTTCTGGAAACGCTACCTGAGTATGTGTGGATACATATGAAGAAGCTATAGAAAATTCATGGAACAATGAAATTAAAATATAATGAAATTTTTTTCCACGAATTTTTTGAAGCCTCTTCATGTATGTTGTTCTTGTTAGGTGCCATAGAGTCAGTTCAACTTTTGGCGACCCTATGCATCACAAAACGAAACACTGCCTGGTCCTGCATCATCCTTGCAATTTTTATGCTTGAGCCCATTGCTGATGCCACAGTGTCAATCCATCTCAATGGGACTCTTCCTCTTTTTCTCTGACCCTCCACTATACCAAGCATGATGCCCTTCTCCAAGGATTGGTCCCTCCAGATAATATGTCCAAAGTATGAGAGATGAAGTTGTGCCGCCCTGGCTTCTAAGGAGCATTCTGGCTGTACTTTTTCCAACACAGATTTGTTTGTTCTTCTGGAATTCCATAGTATTTCAATATTCTTCTCTAACACCATAACTCAAATGCATCAATTCTTCCACATTTGTCCTTATTCGCTGTCCAACTGTCACTTGCATACAAAGCGACTGAAATGCCATGGCTTGGGTCAGGTGAACATTAGTCCTCAAACTGATATCTTTGCTCTTAAATACTTTAAAGAGGTCTTATGCAGCAGATTTTCCTGGTGCAATAAGTCCTTTAACTTCTTGGCTGCCGTTTCCATGAGTGCTGATTATGGCTCAAGCAAAATGACGTCTTTGACAATTTCAATGTTTTCTCCATTTATCATGGTGTGATTTATTGATCCAGTGAGGATTTTTGTTTTCTTTATATTGAGGAGAAATCCATACTGAAGACTGTGGTCTTTGATCTTTATCAGTAAGTATTTTTAGTCCTTTTAGCTTCCAGCAAACAAGATTGTACCATCTGCATATCACAGGTTGTTAATGAGTCTTCTTCCAATCCTGATGTCATGTTCTTCTTCATATAATCCATCTTCTCAGATTATTTGCTCACTGTACAGATTGAATAAGTATATTGAAAGAATACAACCCTGGTGCACATATTTCCTAAATTTAAACCATTCAGTAAATATCCCCTTGTTCTATTTGAATGACTGTCTCTTGTTCTATGTACAGCTTCCTGATCAGCACAATTAAATGTTCTAGAATAGCCATTCATCATTATGTTATTCATAGCTTATAATGATCCACACAATCAAAAGCCTCTGCATAGTTAATAAAGTACAAGTAAACATTTTTCTGGAATTCTCTGCTTTCAGCCAAGATCCATCTGACTTCAACAACGATATCCCTCATTCTGTGTCCACTTCTGAATCCAGCTTGAGCTTATGGCAGTGCTTGATGTACTGATACAGACATTTTTGAATTATCTTTGGCACAATCTTACTTGAATGTGATATTAATGATATCATTCAATGATTTCTGCATTTTGTTGAGTTACCTCTCTTTGAATGGGCACAAATATGGATCTTTTCCAACTGGTTGTCCAGGTAACAGTCTTCCAAGTATCTTGGCATAGATGAGTGAGCTCCATCCATTTGTTGAAAGAATTCAATCTGTGTTCTGTCAATTCCTGAAGCCTTGTTTTTAACAAGACCAACCACTTCTTCATTGGAAATACCTTGTTTAAAGAACATAAAAGGGAGCTATACATGTGGCCCTCATTGGAAGAAATACATAGGAATCAAATCAACTACATCTGTTGAAAGCTAAATACATTCAGTCAGAATAAGACCAGGGCCTGACTGTTGAATAGACCATCAATTGCTGATATGCCAGTTCAAGTTGAAGCTGAAGAAAATTCAAATAAATCCATAGGAGTCAAAATATGATCTTGGATATATTCCACCTAAATTCAGAGATCATCTCAAGGACAGATTTGATCCACTGAACACTGATGACTGAAGGCCAGACAAATTGTGGAATGTCATCAAGGACACCAATATAAAGAAAGCCAAGATTATTTAAAGACCAGAAGAAAGAAGAGAATAAGATGGATGGCAGAAGAGATTTTAAAACCTGCTCTTAAACACAGAGTACTCAAGCAAGTGGAAGAAATGATTAAATAAATAAGCTTAACCAAAAATCTCATAGTAAAGAAGACAAACTACTATGATGAAATGTTTAGAGACTGGGAGTTAGAACACCAAAGAGGAAGAACATTCCTTAAGCTTAAGAACTGAAGGAAAACTTCAAGCCTTGAATTGCAATACTAAAGAATACTATAGGCAAGGTATTTCATCAAGGAAGATGAAAAGGATACACATTGACTGTATAAAAAATTGGTTGACATCCAACCATTTCAGGAGGTAGCATATGATCAAGAAGTTATGGTAATGAAGAAAGAAATCCAAGCTGAACTGACAGCATCAGTGTAAAATAAGACCCCAGGAATCGATGGACTACCAACTGAGATATTTCAACAAACAGATGTAAACTGGAGTGCTCATTCATCTATACAAAGAATTTTGGAACATAGCTACATGACCAACTGGTTGGATTAGATTTATACTTGGGCCCATTGCAAATAAAGGTGATCCAACAGAATGTGAAAGTTATCAAATGATATCATTAATATTATACATATGTAAAGTTTTACTAAAGATAATTTTAAAATGGTTGCAGCAGTATATTGACAGAGAACTGCCAGAAATTCAAACCTGATTCAGAAGAGGATATGGAATGAGGAATGTCATCACTGCTGATGTTATATGAATCTTGGCTGAAAGCAGTGAATACCAGAAAAGATGTTAATCTGGGTTTTATTGTGTATGCAAAGGCATTCAACTGTGGATCATAACAAACTATGGAGAACACTGAGAAGAGTGGGTATTCCAGAACACTTAACTGTGCTCATGAGGTAACTGTACACAGATCAAGAAGCAGTCAATAGATCAGAACATGGGAATACTGTATAGTTTAAAATCAAGAAAGGTGTCTATCAAGGTTGTATCCTTTTACCATACTTATTCAGTCTGTATGCTGAGCAAATAGTCTGAGAAACTGGACTATACAAAAAAGAATTCAGCATCTGAATTGGAGGATGACTCATTAACAACCTGCAATATGCAGATGACATAACATTGCTTGTTGCAAGCAAAGAGGACTTGCTGATGAAGAGCAATGATTATAGCATTCCATATGAGTGTTACCTTAATATAAAGAAAATTAAAATCCTCACAACTGGACCAAAAAGTTACATCATGATCAACTGAGAAAAGACTGAAGTTGTCTTGGATCCATGATTAATGGCTGTGGAAGCAGCAGTCAAGAAATCAAGCAGCATATTGTATTAGACAAATTGCTGCAAAAAATAGCTCTTTAAAGTGTTAAAAAACAAAGTTGTGACTTTAGGACTAAAATGCATCTTACCCAACTCAAGGTATTTTCAGTTGCCTCAGATGCATATGAAAGCTGGACAATGAATAAGAAAGACCAAAGAAGAAATGATTCTGACAGGAATATTAAATATACTATGGGCTGCAGAATAACAGATAAATCTGTCTTGGAAGAAGTACAGCTAGAGTACTTCTTACAAGTGAGGATGGCAAGACTTCATCTCAAGTACTTTGGATGTTATCAAGAAGAACCAATTCCTGGAGAAGGACAGCATACTTGGTAAAGTAGAAGGCAGACCAAAAACAGGAAGCCCTGAGCAAGATAGACTGATATAGTAGCAACAATAATGGGTTCAAACATAGCAATGGTTGTGATAATTGCAAACAACCAGGCAATATTTTATTCTATTGTATGTAGAGTCACTGTGAAGTGGAACTATGAAGCGGAACTGACTTGACATCAGCTAACAACTATAATATATGTGTGTGTGTGTGTGTGTGTGTGTGGCACTGCAGGTTAATATGCTTAACTGCAAAGTTGGTTTGAACTACAAGGTCTATGATTCAAACTCACCAGCCACTCTTCAAAAACCCTATACCGGATCGCTATGAGTCAGAACCAATTTGACAGTATTTAACAGCAACATATATATATATATGTGTGTGTGTGTGTGTGTGTGTGTGTGTGTGTGTGTAAAGCAACCTGCATTTGTTGCTGTTAAGTTGATTCCTATACATAGTGACCCTGTATAGGGTTTCCAAAAAGTGATTGGTGAATTTGAACCTTTGGTCCAGTGCCTATCCTCCAGCGCCACTGCAGGACTCCAACCTGCAGTAGACTATAATATTATAAATTAAAATGATGTTTCAATAATCTGTGTATCAGAAAGTGCTAGAAATTAATTTATTCCTTTGTTCCTTCCTGTGATTATTTTTTCCTTGATTTCTACCATTTTAAGAAACAATACTTTCTTGAAATCTTTTGTTATTGTGTTAATTTCTGAAGCAATTTGCTCTTCTGCTTATTTACTGGCTTGAACAAGTAAATTTACTGGTTTTTATGTACTTGGTTATTGCTTTTATGCTAATGGATCCCAATCTATTTATTTAATTTTATCTATTATATGTCAATCAAACCACAAATGTTTCATGAGCATCTAGGAACAAATTATTATTCTGAATGTTTTAGAGAAATATGAGACATATCCCTAACTTTTGAGCAGCTAACAACCAAGTCAGGTAGATATGGCCAATTTATAAAGAACTGTTAATTATACGAGGCAGAGTATATGATGGCATGAAGGAGACGGAGATATGGCAAATCTTTTTTTAAGAGCTAGAAAAAGGAAATGCAAAACAGACCAAGTTAAGACAACAGAAAAATGAAGAAGAAAACTTGGATAATATCTCATCAGGCAAGCCAAGAAAGTTTCAACATTGACAACACACAGAAGTGTCAGAGGAATTGAAGACTAAAAAATAGAAACTTGCTTTGAAGAATCCTGGAGAAAGCAGTTTCAACTGTGGTGCTGCAGGAAAATGCACTGGACTGCAAGGTCGGTTTGAATCTCTGGTTCAAATTCACTGCTCGCTTCTTGGAAACCCTATACAGGGTCACTATGAGTCAGAACTGACTGGACGGACGCCACTTAAAAACAATAGACATATAAACCATACTCTTGGGGCTTAAGAACTGAGAGAATAGTGAAGAAATGTAGGTAACACAAAAAATGGATTTTAAATATCATGAAGTTTTATTCTTAAAAAATATCCTGGGCTTATGCAATTAGTTTTAGTGAATATATTTTTCAAAGTGAGATCTTTTAAAGCATTTGCCAAAATTTTTACATTGGGCCATTCTTTTTTTTTTTTAAACTAATGGGGACAGTATACTTCCTTGTCACTGAAGGAATGAAACATGTTTGGTATTATCATTCAGTCTGATGTATTCTCTTCTTATGAAGACCTGGTTATTTAGATGCCCTACAAATACTCTTTCTCAACTAACTCAAAAATGGTACAATTACATGTACAATGTCTCTAGAACCTCTGAGAGTATAAACATAAAAGGTTCGAGTGATTTTTTCCCCCCTCCTTCGACATTGTCTTTCCTTTTATTAAAAAAAAATATATATGGAAAATTTCAAATAAATAAGCAAGTAGAGAAAATACTGTAATTAATTTCCAAATATCAATCATCCAACTTCAACAACTATCGATTCATGGCCACTCTTGTTGAATATATCTCCGTTCACTCCCCCCATCCCCTGCCTTTGTGTTATTTGAAACAAATCCCCGATAGCATATTATTTTATCTATAAATATTTCAGTCAATAGCTATAAAAAGATGAGGAATTCTGTTTAAAAAAAAAATAACCATGATGCCATCACCATAGCAAAAATTTAATAACATTTCCTCGATAGCATCAAATAATACCTGTTGTGAGTGATCAGTTGCTTCCCAATGCATGTGGCTTGATTCAAGATCCAAAAGAATTTCATATTTTAAGAGAGAAAAAATCTAGGATGCACAATAAAACTTTAAACTGAAATTTTCTTCTTCTTGGTAATAAAATTAATTTGGGAACAAATGAAATTGATTTACCATCAGTAAACTCACACATTGATTCTGAAGGTTACAGTTTTATAAGTAGTAACATTTGATTCATTAGGCTTTTATGAGTAGTAGCATTTGATTAATTTAAACAGAATTTCAACATATATCTGTATCTAGAGTCCTAGTGTGGTGCTGTAGGATAAGCACTGGACTGCTAACCACAAGGTCAGTAGTTCAAACCCACCAGCCGCTCCTTAGGAAAGAATTGCTGTGAGTTGGAACTGACTTGACGGTACTTAACAACTTATTTACATCTATGCATATCTTTATATATATACACACATATAGATAGACAGATAGATAGATGTATATGCACAACACAAGGAACACAAGGAACTGACAAGCTGTTACAGGCACTAAGTATAGTGTAACTTCTGTGACAGGGAACCAAAACTTCTCAGCAATGTTGCTGGATTTTTTGTGTGTGTCATATGCTTTCTTGTTCCTAAAAGGATCTGAGGTGTGTAAATTTAGCATTAATGAGATGAGGTGACACAGTGGCTGTAACAGTGCCTGTGACTGTGAGGATGGCTCCGACTGGCAGTATTTCCTTCTGCTGTCCTAACGGTGCCATCAGTGGAACTGACTTGATGGCACCTACCAACAACTTCAGCATTGGGATTTTGGCACTACTTTTATGAAAAACAACTTAGCTGTTTCTTATATATTTTGTCACATACTGGTAGTATGATCACTTATTTTATAACTTCATTTATATAAATAAGGTCTTGATTTACATTAAATTCCCCAACTACCGGCCATATGAATTCATAAAATTTTTAAAACTACTGCTATGCATGCTTTATACTTCTGTTTATCTAGCCCAGATAGTATATTTTCAATCCATGCCTTGAGTACCAATGGTCATCGTAAGAAAATTCCTTGTGCTGTTATTTCCTCATTCTTTTCTCTGACATTGTAAAGGTCAAGTAAATTATATATGAGAAGGGACAAGCCCTCCTCAGCCCCGAACAAGAAGAAGAAATGTCACTTGCCACTCATTTCCAGAAAGTATCTTGCGTTCATTAGCATTCGGCCTTGAGGTTTCAGTTCTAACTGGTTGAGAGAAGGAAAGAAATATTAGTCAGGACGTGAAAGGAGTGCTGAGTTTAATTACATAGTAATGGGTGTGTTTGGTGATGGTAGGAGATTTCTAATACAGAATGCAATCGTTGCTCCCTTCCTATTTACCCATATTCTTTATCATCAGTAATAGAGCAGTAACCTTGAACACAGTACTTTCTTTGACTTGAACCACCCCGTCCATTCACCAATTTTACTTGAAGATTAAAACTTGTGTACAGAGGGAAAGGCATTCTAAAACAGATTCTATTGGGGTTTCTCTCTTGCCCTGTTCTGCTATGGTCGGAAGAACCAGAATCGGGCAGTCCTAGGCAACAATCACTAGTGTTAGCTCACTTGGGGAGATGAGCTCATGGAAGGAAAGATAAATCCTGTACTGAGAGTGTGGACACAGAAGTCTCTTCCCTTCCTCCAGATACTTATTCAGGTTAATCAGGGGTTAAATAAAAGTAACCTTTTTCTTTCACAGGGAAAAATTGCTTACTTGGGAAAGGGCTAGATAATTTACTGAGCTACATTTTAATTAGAATGGTCTGGGGAGGGTTCAAAAAGAAAATTCAATATAATTATTTAGAGGGAACCAGAACAAATAAATAAAGTGATCTTTGAAGGGACATGCAGGATATCAGGATATGTAAAATAAGGAGAAAAAAAAGAAAATCTAAGACAGCCTGAACATAATCACTAACTTACTACTAAGCCATAATAACCTCATTCATATACTAAAGAGAATAGAGAAGAAAAGGATTGAAGGCCATTGTTGTTAATTATGCCTATGGATTAATTATTGCTGTATGCCGAGTTGGGTCCCACTCACAGTGACCTAGTATAGAGTTTTTGAGGCTATAAATCTTTATAGGAGTAGAAAGCTTCAGAATTCTCCCATAGAGCAGTTGGTGGATTCGAACTGCTGACCTTGCAGTTAGCAGCCCAATGCATTATCCACTATACTATCAGGGCTCCTATGGTTTAACTACTGAAACATCAATTAGAAAAGTCAGTAGGATGTAACCATACAAACGGTTAAAACATTAGCAAAATAAGAGGCAAGAAGTGTTGATACAGTATTTAGCAACAAGATGGTATCTATGGAGGTGAAATGCATATTGGAGATCAGCATTTTAAAAAATAGAGACATTAATTTTAAGAAAGCAGATTTCAATAAATGCAAGGTTAAATTAAGAGGGTAAGTCAAAAAGTATTGCTACGAAACCATAGAATCTTTTATCAAAAGGTTGAAACGATTGTTTCTCGACATATCCTCCCTCTAGGTCTATACATTTCTGAAGGCAGAATTCCATCTCTCTAACCCTTCCCTCAATGTTGTACTGGTGAGTTAATGTACTGGGGTCAAGCCTATCAGCCACTCCTCAGAAACCCTATACAGGGTCACTATGAGTTAGAACCAACTCAGTGGCACCTAACAAGAACAACAACAACAACCCTTTCCCACAAAATTCTGCACTCTTCAATGTACACCAAATGTACATCAAAAGGTCAGTTTTGGCTTCCTTGAGGGACTCAAATAATGATCCTTTTCAATGTTGTTTGAGTTTGGGGGCAAAAAGAAGTCTGAAAGGAGAAGATCAGGGCTGTAGGGTGAATGGGGTAAGTTTTCCCAGTGAAATTCTTATAGGATGGACTTTGCTACCCTTGAAAAAAGAACAGGTACATTCCTTTAATAGAGAAAAAAAATTCCTCGGTACAACTTTCCTGGCCTTTTTCTCAGCAATGGAGTTTCTCATTTTCTTAAAACTTCTTTATACCAAGATTCTGTGATTGCCTTGTGTTATTCAAGAAAACCTCTCAAGATTAACCACTTTGGAATTTCAGAAAACAGCTGGCATACCCTTTTTAGTTGATATTGCTAGTTTCAACTAGTCCAGTAGATCCCTTTGAAAGTCACTGTTTTCATTGGACCTTTTTCTTTGAAGGCACCCTAACGAGACTAAAACAGGTGTAATACTGAGACAACTTGTCTGCAGCCATCACGGATCACAGAGACATGTCTAAACACGTTCTGTTTGGAATAAACTTGTGCCTGTATGAACTAGAACTCTGGTAGCAATACTTTTTGGCTTACCCTTGTATACATCCAAGACAATCTGTTAACACTTAGACACTATAAAATAAAATCCAACTACGAAATAACTAACTGAAAACATATCTGAAAAATATCAAAAAAATACTGGTTGGTTAAATGAAGATCTTAACACGACCAAAATCTTTTTCCTAAAGAATCCTAGAATGCAAAGAAAGTGAAAGCCTGATAAGAATAAAATCAGAGAGTCTTGACAAGAAATTAAATAAAGTCTTGTCAAGAAATCCAATAAGAGATATAAGCAGAAAAGCAATCTGCATATCAATGAAGTCTTAAAAAGGGTAAGAAATAGCTATTCTTTCATTAACCAAGAAGAAAACACAGGTAACATGCTTTTTAAAAATTAGGGAATAGGTAACTCTTTAAAAAATTGGGCAGAAAGAAGAAAATAAATGAGAATGGAATCAGGGAAAATTCTTTCTAATTCATCTCTTCTTTCATCTTGTTGTTGTTAAGTACCGTGGAGTCGGTTCCGACTCATAGCGACCCTGCACATGGTTTCAGAAGCTGCAAATCTTTACGGGAGCAGAAAGCCTAATCTTTCTTCCACGGAACAGTTGGTAGTTTCAAACTGCTGACCCTGAGGTTAGCAGCCTGATTCATAACCACTACGCTACCAGAGCTCCTTCTTCTTAGTCAAGCCAAAATCTCCCCTGTCCCAGGCCCAACTAAATCCTTGTCCCTCATAATTGCAGGGCTCATGTAAATTCTCTAGCTTTATGTTAAGCACTTGACTGCTAACTGTAATGTCAGCAGTTTGAACCCATTAGCCATTTCATGGGAGAAGGGTGTGGCAATCCACTCCCCTAAAGATTGTTGTTGTTATTAAGTGCCATCGAGTCAGTTCTGACCCATAGCGACCCTGAACAGGGTTTCCGAGGCTATAAATCTTTACGGGAGCAGAAAGCCTCATCTTTCTCCCTCGGAGCAGCTGGTAGTTTCGAACTGCTGACCTTGCGGTTCGCAGCCCGATTCGTAACCACTACGCTACCAGAGCTCCTTAAAGATTATAACCTTGGAAATCCTATAGGGCAGTTCTACTCTGTCATATGGGGTCACTATGAGTCAGAATTCACTCACTGGCATGGGACATTATCAGGTTGTTTAATCTTCCCTTCTTATGCCACTGTAGGGTAAACTCTACAAGGTCAGTTTGACCTGCGAGGTTGGCAATTCAAACTCAGTAGCTGTTTCTCGGAAACCCTATAAAGGGTCACTATGAAACAGTCTTGACAGCACTTAACAACAACAACAACATTTATCTAAGCAGGTATCCAAGAAGAGTTTTGTTTCCAAGATCCCTTCCTCAAACTGCACACAGCGGTGGTGCTAATGTACTGCTGAGCTAAGTTATCTACACATACCTAAGCCCAGAAGGAATTTTGGTAGTATAGTGGATTATGAGCTGAGCTACTAACCACAAGGTCAGCAGTTCCAATCCACCAGCTTCTCCATGGGAGAAAGATTAGGTCTTCTGCTCCTATAAATATTTATAGCCTCAGAAACCCTATGAGTCAGAACCAACTCCATGGCACATAACCACCACCACCTAAGCCTGGGTTCCTTTGCCATCTTGGTATCTTAAAGGATTATTTTGGTAAAACATATGAAGAATAATACACTTATCTAAAAGTACTGCTTATTGTGTGTGTGTGTGTTCAAAATACCAAACTGACACAAAAACCTAATTTTTTGGCTTACATCATTCCCATTGTGAAACCTGTGACTTGAACATCTTTAGGTAGATTGCTTTAAAAACTACTTTAAAAAGATCTGAAAGGTGAACCTCTAAAGTTGGGGAACAGCAAAAGGATAAACAGACTAAAGACACTGCTTTTCCAGAAGTGACATGAAACTTTTGAAAATATTTTCTAGATCTCAGATCATATAAAACAAGTTGGTCAATTTTTGTTGTTGTTTTTCCTACCGTTATATTTTCTTTCATTTTGTGTCCCTAGAATTTTCATTAGAAATGTTGATAATTTCATTGTTTGGTCTTCCCTTTAACATTTCTATACATTTGCTATCAAACAGTTTTAACCCAAGTTTTAAAAAACATGGTGTGCTGATATTTTGTATATAGAACTTCTGGTACAAAGTAAGCTGAGTAAACACATTATGACTGAAAACTTATTTACTGGGACTGACAAAGTATGGAATGAGAAAACCAAATATTAAATAGGACTTTGCTCTTTCTCACATTCTGATGTCTTTGATAATAGTTAGGTTCCCGGGTTAGGAGAAATATCTGATCTTTTCCCAAGCTTATTTTCATAGTTAAAGATCAATAAGAATTTTATATAGCTTATGAGTCATTCTTCACCTTATATATGCTGATACAGTCTATGGAACACAATGAGTATGGTGGTCATTAGCAAATCAGCAGTGTGTAAGTGGTAGGGAATATTGACTCAAGACCAGTGTGATCTTACCTTCAGGGTGTTCCTTAGATTCTGAGAAAGTCTTCAACAAACACAGTGTTTATCATTGAACGCTACATACACTTTAAATAAAGCTCAGATATTTACCCATAGTTCTGTCTTCCCATTGTTCTTCCGGCATCTCTCGGCCAGGGAGTAGAGTTCTATGGTCGTTTCAGATATTAGGTCCACATTTTTCCCCTTCACAATGATTTGCATTACTCTTCCCTTGTTGATATGGGCATCGAAAGTGCTGTCCCAGGGTGGGTACATGGTAGGCTTTTTCTGAACATACATCTGCCCATTCTCTACAAACACAAAGACATGTTCTCATTACTTCTTTAGCCAGCTTTGAAAAATAATCCAGTTAAACTCAATAGAAGTACTTATTCTTTCTGTTCTTTAGGACAGATAATTCTGTTGGGAAGACCAGAAAAACACATAAAACAATCAATAGACAATTGATTGGACAGAATGGGAAAGTTTCAAGGGCTACATGCAAGATAACTGAGTGAATTTTAACAGTCTATCTGGATAACCTAGGCAGTAACAATTGTGAAACCCTATTTAAACTGTCAAAATTATTTTCCTATTTGATGGCTAATTGTTTCACTTTGGGTGTGTACAACTGTGTAAGTAAATAGAATTCAGGGGATTAAGTGTAAAGTATTTAGTGGAGTTGGTAACATGGATCTCATTCTTCATGTGCCTGAAACTTTCATGCCTTTAATGTTGTCCTTTGTTAACCTATGAAGAACTGATTGTATGACTGGTTCGTTTCACTGGCATTTGGTAAGGAATGGTTAATATAAAATTACTGTGAGTTCATTTGAAAGATAGTTTGGCATAATCTGAGGCTTATCATAAATGCTCTTTAAAAAAAGATACCATCAAATTTTCCATTTGACATAAATACACAAAGAAGAATTAACCTTTAAAATATAATGAGCAAGGAGATGGGGACAAGACTCTTATGATTCAATAGTGAATGAATGGTTACTATCAGGTCTGACTGTGGGTGTTGGAAAATAAACGTAGATGTTTTGTAAAAGAAGGAGGGGAATGATTGACTTTGCAGTCTAGGAGTGGAGGTCCCTGGGACCATCAAGGGAGAAAAGCAGAGTGCGGGACACTATCCAGAGAAGCAGCAATGACAGAGATGGAGGCAGAGACGATGACAAGGAGAGATGGAGCAGCTGGGGACTCTGGACTCCGGGAGGGAGAGGGTCTGTGTGTTGACAGCCAGGGGGCAGGCTTGTGGGGGTATAACCTTTGGTTGTTTGATGATGCATGGAGGGAATTGTAATCATTGCAATGAAACGAAGTAAGATAGGATGAATGTAAAGCTAATGTTCTCCCATGTAAACTATCACATAATTTACAATAATAATAATAAAAGGATAACAGGGAGAAAGTAGGACAAGTGATGTTACGTGGAGGGGATTGTTGTCACTGTGATGAAATAAAGTGTACGATTTGTTGAATGTAAAACTGATGATCTCTATAAACCTTCAATCAATTCACAATAAAAAGTTAAAAAAAAATAATAATGAGCAATTGTTGTTGTTAAGTACTGTCCAGTTGGTTCTGACTAATAGCGACTATTATAGGGTTTCCCAGGAGTGGCTGGTGAGCTTGACCCACTGACCTTGCAGTTCAAACCGACTTTATAGCCCAGCACATTAACCCATAGCACCATACCAGGACTCCTGATGAGCAATTACTTCTTTTTATGTCTGCAATAATGTGCATGGTACATTTTAGATAGTACATGTACATAGCTTAACAATACTGACAAGCAATTGAGTGCTGATGGTATTCATTGATGCAGTCAGTAAGCAGAGGGCAGGCAGGCAGGAGTCCTTAGAAATGGGTAGTAACAAGAACCAAGAAGGTTTGTCATCCTAAATATAAACCTTCCCGGAGGCCACCAGTGACTAAGAAAGACTTTAGTACTGAGAATATGTAGTTTGTCATATCTTCCATCCACATTGGATTTTCTCTGGGTATTTGTTCTTTAATCCATTCAATGCAGAAAACTGTAGCTGTATTTGTTTCTTGTGATAATAACCCCAGTTAGTAGCAGAGGCAGATTTAGAAATTCAGAGATATTAATAAAGCAAAAGGGAGAAATCCACTTAAGATATAGAAATAGAGCAGAATGGACTGCTATTAACCATAAGGTGAGCAGTTAGATCCAACCAGAAGCTCCTCAGAAGAAAGGTCTGGTGAGCCACATCTGAAAAACTGATCACTGGAAACCCTATGAAGTATGTTCTACCCTGACATACAAGGGGTCACAATGAATAGGAGCGATCTCAACGTAACTGGTGGTTTGACTGGAAGACACTTGCCTTTTCCCTACCACTCCTCTTGCCCCTTGCCTTACAGAAAGCTAAAGCAGAAGAGACAGTTAACAGTTTCTGGATTTATATTTTACAGGTACAGAAGGAGTTAAATAAGTTGAAACATATTTAACTTATAAATTTTAGGTAAACATGAATATTTGTTGATGTTAGGTGTCATTGAGTCAGTACCAACTCATAACGACCCTATGCACAACAGAACTAAACACTGCCCCATCCTGTGCCAACCTCACAATCATTGCTACATTTGAGTCCATCATTTCCTGCCACTGTGCCAATTCACATCATTGGGGGTCTTCCTCTTTTTATCTGACCTTCCATTTTACCAAACACAATATCCTTCTCCAGGGACTGGTCCCTTCTGAAATTATGTTTGAAGTATGAGAGATGATGTCTGGCCATCTTGGCTTCTAAGGAATATTCTGGCTGTACTTCCAACACAGATTGTTTGCTCTTCTGGCAGTCCAAGGTAGTTTTAATATTCTTCTCTAACATTATAACTAAAATGCATCAATTCGTCTATGGTCTTCCTTATTCACTGTATACCTTTCACATGCATGTTGAAAATACCATGGCTTGGGTCAGGCGCACTAAGTCCTTAAGCTGACATCTTTGCTCTTCAAAACTTTAAAGAGGTCTTGCTCTATAGATTTGCCTAATGCTATACACGTTATTTGATTTCTTGATTGCTTCTTTTAGGAGTTTTGATGGTTGATCCAAGCAAAAGGAAGTCTTTGACAACTTCTATCTTCTCTCCATTTATCTTAATGTTATTTATTGGTCAAGTGGTGAAGATTTTTGTTTTGTTTTTTTATGTTGAGGTGCAACCCATAGCAAACTCAGTGGTCCTTGATCTTCACCAGTAAGTATTTTAAGTCTCCTTTGCTTTCAGTAAGCAAGTTGTATCATCTGCATATCACGGGTTTTTAGTGAATATTCCTCTTATCCTGGTGCCATATTTTTTCTTCATATAATCCAGTTTCTTAGATTATTTGCTCAGCATACAGATTGGAGAAGTATGGTGAAAGAATACAATCCTGGCACACATCTTTCCTAATTTTAAACTATTCAGAGTTCTTTTATTCTGTTTGAACAACAGCCTCTTGCTCTGTGTACAGGTTATTCATGAGCATAATTAAGTGTTCTGGAATACTCAGTCTCCACAATGTTGTCCATAGCTTGTCATGACCCACACAATCGAAAGCTGTTTCTTAGTTAATAAAGCACAGGCAAACATCTTTCTGGTATTCTCTGCTTTTAGCTAAGATCCATCTGATGTCAGAAATGATACCCCTGGTTCCACATCCTCTTCTGAATCCAGTCTTAACCTCTAGAAGTTTTCTGTCAGTGTATGGTTGCAGTCCTTTTTGAACTACCTTTAGCAAAATTTTACTTGAATGCAATATTAATGATATTGTTGGATGATTTCCACATTCCATTGGGTTACCTCTTTTTGGAATGGGCACAAATATGGAACTCTTGCAGTCAGGTGGCCAGGTAGTTGTCTTCCAAATTTCTTGACACAGATGAGACAGTGTGTCCAGTGCCACATGAGAACTTGAATATTAGAGGTGTAAATTACATTGTTAGTGGTGCAAAAGGAAAAGAAACGTTTTCATGGTTTTTTTGTTTTGTTTTGTTTTTAAATTGGAGCTGGGCTTATTAATAAAACTGATAGCAACATTACTTATCATTCAATAATGATTATAAATCAATAATAGTTTTCCATAACTTAAGAAAGAAATAACTTAAATTAATGACTATAACATTTTACTTCCTCAGACTAGAAGCCCCTCATAATTCCTTTTACCACATAACTCATGCCCCAGTCAAAGGACAAAAATCCCTACCTCCACGTTTTTTGTTTTGTTTTGTTTTTTAACCTTTTCACTCATTAGGTTTGTAACCACCTAAAAAGAAGACCAGAGCTCAGGATCCTGTCTCCCTAGTGAGTTTGGCCATTTTCAAAGGCTTACAGATGGATGGTCCGGCACTCTGTTAATTTTGTTTGTAGACTCACCATGAAAAACAGAGCCTCACACTCCAAAGATTGAAATGTGTTTAAATTCTAAGAAAGTGATACTTGAATTCTAATGTTCAGAGCGATTTCTTTTTAGAACAAAACCCGAAACAAAAATCTTGAAACTTCTCAAAACACCACAGGTTAACCTTTTGGAAAAAAACAGTTTTCTTCTTTTCTGACAAGGTCTCCTGATCCTCAAGACTGATTAGAACAAGTTCAAACATAAGGCTAGAAAAAAAAAAAGGACAGAAAGAAAAATAAATAAATGAATATAAAAAAGGCTCCCAGGAGGCAAATGTCAGTGAGACTTGTGGTTGTAAAGAGAACTGGATCCGGGAAGCCCATTAAGTCAAAGCAGCTTTGAAAAACTCAGGCATTTTACACTTCAAACATTTCTGTGACATTTGAAAGGTTTTAAACTGGGAACAAGTGGCATTCTCACATCTAACTAAACAGGAGACCAAGCTGGGCAGAAAGGACATCAAGATGATTCAGACAGTCTCCTCAGCTTTGATGCACTCATTCAGAGGGTCTAGAAAGGTGAAGTTACCCAAGGAACAAAAAAGTCTTTTAAAAAAAAGTAAACATACTAGAATTCTGAACCCCAGAAATCCTGACCTGTAGATCTAGCTGGAGGTACTCAAAAAATCGAAGTCAAGTTCTCATGGGACTGCAAATGTTCCCTCCTTATAGTTCTTTTTAGGTGTGGTACTGTAGGATAAGCACGGATTGCTAACCATAAAGTTGGCAGTTCAAATCCACCAGCTGCTCTTAGGAAATCCTATATAGTCGCTATGAGTCAGAACCAAATCCATGGCACTTAACAACAACAACAACACAAAAAATAACAGTAGCCCCTGAGTGGCACAAATAGTTAAGCACTCAGCTGCTAACCAAAAGGTTGGAAGCTCAAGTACCC